TGGCTCCTATTTTTCTACTTGCATTTTTACATGCTTTCAAAGTGCTAGGTTGACAGAAGCTGGGACAATGGGAGCTCACTCCATTACGCGGCACTAGGGATTCGATCCACCAAACTGCTGACCTTTCTGATTGACAAGCTCAGTGTCTTAGCCAATGAGCCATCGTGGCCCTTATTATTATTTACATGAGGAATTCCCTGTTTAATTTGAAGAAGTTGAGATGTCAGGAACTTCTTTGCTGCATGAATGATGAGAACAGGGCTCACACACATATTTATGCTGATTAAAAACATTTGTTCTCTTTTGTAGGGTACAAAAGGTATCCCAGCTCAAACCTATAAACATTTGAGAGCTTTGATTAAGAAACAGCAACAACAGAAGGCTAAAACATTTCCAGGTCTGCTGACCTTGAGAGCTAAACTTGAAAAAGAAGTTCAGAAGAAAGCGGTTCAGAAGGATGAAGAGAATATGTCCTTGCCATATTCTGAAATCTTTGGTAAGATGCTCAGTTATATTATTTAGAAACATAACATTTATTTTATTTTATTAATATTTTATCATTTTATGTAAAACCAACAAAAAGACTAACAAATTTGATGCTTAAATGATGCTGTGCTCCCTGACTCTAGCGTTATATATTTTTGTTCTTACAATTTTTTCAAGATAAGATGAAATTAATCTAAAGGCTAATTTGTAAATTCAAGTTTATGTATGTACATGAAAACACCCTGCTCATAATAAAAAAAATCATGGCTACTTTTACAACAGATGGATTATATGATCCCATAGGCATTCTTTGTATAGACTTTAATCATTCAGATTATGAAAGCAGCAAAGTTTATTAGCATAGCACATACATGCTACTACATGGGTTCAGTACAATCTGCAACATAAGTTCCAGTGACTTTATAGATGTATTTTGTGTGATTTTCTTGACAGGAATGTGGAAGTGGATTCCCATGATCTTCTTCCATGATATTTTTGATTTTTTAATCTAGCTTTTAGGCCAGCCATTCCCTCAAATTCTCTTATCCAAGTACTAACTAACCTGACCCTGCTTAGTTTCCATAGGCCACATGCCATATGTTGTTACTTTTTGACATGTAAAACCATAAGTATAAACCAAATAATGTGAATAAAATTCCTAAAAGCAGAATGAGGAAGGGAAATATTCAACTAATAACACAAGTTGTTGATTGGTACTATGTAAGACTCCATTGCATTCCAAAAAATGTTTTTCTCCTTTTTTTTCTATTATTCAGTCCTAATAATTAAGAACAAAACAAAATAAAAATGACACAGAGCAATAATTGAGAGATATACAAAATAACATTTATAATCTTGAGATATCCTAAATTTTAACCATATTCAATATTTTTTGTACAAAAGGTTACTTGTATCAATAAAACTAATTAATAAAGTGTTACTTAACTATTTTTTAAAATTTCTATTAAATTTGTTTACCACCCATCTTACTACAGGGTAAGTCTGGGCAGCTTAAATGTTAAGAAGGATAAACCTATACTAAACATCTACCCTGTTTCCCTGAAAATAAGACTTCCTTGGATA